TGACAACAACAACAACATGCATCACAGAATGTCTATGGGGCAGGGAGGAGGGACTTGCTTGGAAGAGCCAGCAGGGTGGGGACTCAGCTGCAGTCCTGGAGTGAAGCCTCAAGCTGACTCACAGCCTCCAAGTCTCTGCTGCCAGGTTCTCCCAGCTGCTGCCCAATCACCTTGCAGGGGAGACACTGGGCTGAGGCTGCTCTACTCCATCCCTCAGGGCTTCTGATTCGTACCAGGCTCCCTTGGCTGCATGGAGAGTGGAGCCCAGAGGCAGCCAACTGCAGGTCCCACTTTGCAAGCCCTGAGGCTCCAGGTGCCAATAGAGCCAGAGCAGTAGATTAATGTTGATGTGTGTATATTTAATGTATACAAACATATATGCACTTAACAACAACCACAAATACAATATGTTGTTCACACAAAGCCAAATCAGAGCGTGGATTTTAAATGACACCCATGTGTGGATGTTAAATGACACCCATCTGTACTGTTTAAAAACAAAACAAAATAAAAAGGCTTGTCACTCAGAAATCTTTTCCATTGATATATTATGCCCATATTCCAACTCACTGTGTAATCAAATAACTATTCTGTACACTTTCCTCCATTTTCCTCCATAATTTCTCAAACCCACATGACAGGGTAAGGCCAAGGCCTGACTGGATTGACTGGTAAAGGCCCAAGGAACCCCTTTTAGATTCAGGAAGTGTATTACTTACATAAACAGTGAAAGGAAGAGTAGCCAAAGGTTACACACAGCCCTTATGTTTCAGTGTGTGTGATGGTTAAAGGTGTGTGTCCACTTAGCTAGCCCATGGTTCTCATGGTTTGAAGATATTATATAATCCTCCTCCATATTGTGATCTGATGTGAATAGCCAATCACTTGACAGGGGAGTTTCCTTGGAGTGACCAGAGTTCAATACATATGGATGTTCTGCATCTGACTTGTCATTGTCTGACCTCTGGTTCTTAGGACATGAGCTACCAGCCTGCCATCTGACCTGCTGATTTTGGCTTCATTAACCCCAGGACCATATGCATCAGGAAAAACCTCCAGCCTGGCACTTGATCCACAGTCTCTACAACTGAGTGAACCATTTCCTTGAAAAAAGTCAGGGTGCTAACCACAAAGTCAGCAGTTGGAAATTACCAGCTGTTCCATGAGTGAACAATGAAGCTTTCTTCTCCTATAAAGATTTACAGCCTCAGAAACCCTATACAGGGTCGCTATGAGTCAGAACTGACTCCACGGCACATACCACCACCATGTATATTTATGTAGGTGCTTCACTGATTTTGATCCTCTGGAGATAAAAAGACAGTGTTGTTCTTCTTGGTGTGTGAGACAAGATCTGTGGGGAACTGGCATCTTTGGCTGTGTGTCTATTTAGCCTTGCCTTGTCTTGTATTTCTGACTATCTGTTTCCTACATAGAAACCTACATAGAATGGTCTAGATGACAAATTAAGGCATCTTCTACTCACAGAAACTCTGGAATAGTTTCAATTAGGCTTTTATTCAAGTTTAATCATGATATACAATAATTATTTAACAGTGAAATACTTTTTTTGTTCATCATATTCAATTAGTAAATTTTAAACATTGGCAACACTTCATGTACATGCTTGTTGAATATAAAAGGGTGATACCCTTTTGGAAAATAAATTGATGATCTATCAAGAAATGTTGATATGATTTCATATACAAATATTGTTTTGCTTTTAGAAATCTATCCTAAATACAGAAAAGGTAGATGCACAAAACTATTCATTGTCATATTATTAATACAAAGAATGCAGAAAAGCCACTTTTCTAATGATAAAGAAATGGTTAAATAAGTTATAATAAAGAGTATTAAGCAATATAGTAAATAGAACAAGAGTACAAAATTGTATGTGCAGTTAGGATACAACAATGCAAAACAATATCTATTCATAGAAAATAATATTGGCCAGATATATGCCAAAATGTTAATAGTGGTTTATTTGTGATTGTAGATGGGTTTTTTGTTTTTGTCTATTGTGAATTCTACACGATTTAATAAATAAGCATTTCTACTTTGCTAATGGAAAAGAAGTTTCTTGAATCTGAAAGAATGCAGACCTAAGCTCATAAGGATAAAAAATTATCAAAGTAGAAACTAATCTATTTTAAGCAACATTTTCTTGTGCTCATGAAGTCCCTGGATTAGTTTAACAATTTTCTGCGTTTTCCTTGTCTCCTCTCCTCTACATTCTATAGAATGAACCCTATCCCCAGGAATAACTGTGTCAAAGCTGACGCTGCTCTTCTGCGGGGCGCAACAAATCAGAAAAGGAAAAGAGCAAAAACAAAGTCAACAGAAATGACCTCTTTCCATCATACCAGCTTTTTTTGGTCAAGAAACTCCAACCTTTTTGCAATTTACAGGGAGATGTGGTAGAAAGCAAAAGAACCCACAAAATAATATATGATAATGAAATGTTTACTTTTTTCATTATTAAAGTAAATAAACTTACTGTGCAGCAAACAATTAAACATATACATAATTCTTACCATCAAGAGACAATCATAGTTAACATTTTGGTCTGTTGTCTCTATATTTTTCACACAAAATTAGAATAATATTAAATATAGTATTTTACATCATATTTTTCAAAACTTGTATTGGTTCCCTGGCTAACTGGTTGAGATCTTAACTTGGCTGTTCCACTAATGGACTCCAATAAGGATTTTGCAGCAAGTCTTTCAAGGAGGGAAGAAGTCAGCCATTGTTTAATACTCATGAAACCCCACTGTTATGTTGTTGTTAAGTGCTTTCAAGTGGGTTCTGACTCATAGCTACCCCATATGGGTTTTCTGAGGAGTGACTGATGAGCTTGAATTGCCAACCTTGCAGTTCAAACTGACCTTGCAGTCCAGCGCATTAACCTGCAGCGCCACACCACAGTAACTCAGATATTTCATTGATCAGGTTGTGTTCATATCTTCCTAGCCATAAACATGATAACGAGATGTAGAAACAATGTGGTTAGCCAAAAGCAAGGGCTGTTCTGTCCTTAACACATTTAAAACAAAGGAGTGCTACCTACTTTTAAAGGAGCCCTGGTAGTGTAATGTATTACAAGCTGGGCAGCTAATTGCAAGGTCAGTAGTTCAAACCCACCAGCTGCTCTGTGGGAGAAAACTCTTCTGCTCATATAAAGATTTGTAGTCTTGGAAACCCTACACAGGGTCACAATGAGTCAGAATGGACTCAACAGCACACAACCACCACCTAATTTTACCACTGCACTTCCAAGAATTCTGAGTTTCTATTTGGGATTTACTTATTCTTATTCTTCTAGCTACAAAGAAAAAATATCACTGTTCAAGGTAAATTAGTGAATGGCCCTCCTAACTCCAATAGTTATAATACCAAATGTGTTGCATAAACTAAGTTCTGGAGGTGACTTCTGCTGGGAATCAGGAGATAGTCACTGATAATTACAAGCTTACTTCCACCCTCCTTGAATAGATTTAAAGGAGGAACTCCAAATTTCCTGAATCCCAAAAGCAGGAGACAGCAGCAGACTGGAAATGGTCCTGAGCTCCTGAAACCTGGTATTTACCAGGTGGATATCTTCAAAGACATTAGCAACTGCTCTAGTTTAGGGATTTCCATCTCAGTATGCAATCAAACTGCTGCCTACCTCAGGAAAGAAACCTCCTGCCTTCTTGTTGTTCCTAGTTGCCTTGGTATTGTCTAAAAATGGCTAAAAGGCTCATTAAGGAAATGATGATCACTGATGAGTATTGATGTATATTATAACCTAGATTGATTACAGCCAGTAATTAACCATCTGGCGTCTCTAAGTGCAAATGGATCAATCCCCCATAAAGGGGAGAAATGGCTCATGCCTACATATAGAGGCACCCTAGTTGAACGCAGAGTTAAAACTCAACTTGCAGACCCTATCTTCTACTTGTATAAACTAACCAAAAGGCAGTGTAGGGGCAAAAGAAGGATTCAGTCTACAAGAGCAAAGAACAAGGGCTTCTGGAAACAGTTTAGGCAAACAGATGGCATGAGCACACAATCCATCTCTAAGACTGTGTTGGTATGGGGGTTCTGGCATCTGAAGTCTATTTTAGGCATTTTAAACTGAATCTTTACTCAATAGCTTAAGTAATACTAAGATGATAAGTGAGATGTGAATAATAACAATAATAATGTATCTTGGATACTTAATTACAAACCTGACACTGCTCTAAATATATAATGTTCAGTTCTCACGACCCTGTGTGGTAGATACTATGACTTTAAAGGAAAGGTATGGAGATAGGATGGAGCAACCACTGGGGACAAGCTGAATGAAATTCTCAGAGCTACCCACCAAGATGCAATCCAGAGATTGGGTCACTTACATTTGGTAGTTTGTAGAAAAAATGTCCCACCTTCACCATCAGCAGCAGCATCACACCTGCGCCTACCAGAGATGCAAACTGAGGAGACAGAGCCGGTTGGAGAGAGACCATCAGGAATGTATTGGTCCCTGTCTGCAACCGAGGCCTTCTGCTTGGTGAGAAGTATGTAAATTGATTTTTTATATTTAAAGGAGTTGGGTATAACCATTCAGCATAAATGCATTTCTGACATTTTGAATTTTCATCAAAGTGCTAAATACATACTGATGTTGTTAAGGTGCCATCAAGTCAGTTCCGACTCATAGCAACCCTGTATAAGGTTTTGGAGGAGCGACTGGGGGTTTGAACCACCAACCGTGCAGTGAGCAGTCCAGCGCTTGTTCTAAAGCACCACACCAGGACTCCAAACACCTACAAGGTACTTAATTAACACTTGCTGAATGCATTGGCATATCTATGGAAAACAATGTCTAGAGCAATTAGTTTTAACTTGTTGATTGATCTCTCACAATTGGCTCTAGAAACTACTGTGGCCAATAGAAACTGCTCACTGCAGCCCTTCTCAAGTAGTGCCCAGGACACATGCCTTAAGTGCCATGCCCTTGATATGCCCCCGGTGAATGAATGCATCAAATGCTCTCTGAAATGCTCTAAATTGCTCTGGGTATTTGTAGCGTTATTGCCAAGGCTCTGTGCTACAGATGTGAAATTCCTGAAATCACTAACCCCTCTGGACACAATTTATAAGAAGCACTAGTGGTGTAGTGGTTAAGCACTTGCCTGCTAACTGAAAGGTCAGCAGTTAGAATTCACCAGCTGCTCTGCAGAAGATAGATGTGACAGATTTGCTTCTGGAAGGATTTACAACCTTGGAAACCCTAAGGGGCAACTCTACTCTGTCCTATAGGCTCACTATGAGTTGGATTGATTTAATGGCAATGGGCTTGCATAATGTATTAAATCCCTAACAGACTCCTCACAGACATTCTGAAATTCCCAACCATTTCACTTTTCTACCCATCACTTCCCTGCTTAGACCTCAGATAACTTCTCACTTAACAGCTTAAAAATACTATCACAATCACTTCCCATTTTCCTACTTTAGTTTCTTTCTGTTTCGCAGGCATTTTTTTAAAAAAGCTTCAAACATGAGTCAAGGCTCCTGGAAGGCTGACTACTCTAGGCTCAGTGAGTGTCACTTGGGAAGACCTTGACTTAGCAAATAAAGATGGAAAGCTAAGAAACTTTAAAATCTCCCTTTATACTCTCAAGGCTCTCTGGACATAGTTTTGAATTCACTATATCCTTTATTGGTTACATTTCATTTTTTCAAAAAGGTAGTTCCCTAATTATAAAAAATAATATTAAAAATGTAATCTAAAGCAGCATCATTTTCCATTGTGACGGAGGTGCGGTGTGTAAAACCATAACAACAAATCAAAACAATGGCCTGTACAAATAAGAACTGAGGGTGGTGCCTTGGATCGAGTCCATTAAATGACTACTCAGTAGTGATTCTTGGATTTTTCCCCATGTAAGAAACAATCTTCCGACTGGGCTCTCGCTCACTGCTCATCGCTATTTGCCATATAAATGCATCATGGAAAATAATAGCAAGGCAATCAGTACTCTACTTGCTTCTTTCCCCTTCCCAGCTGATTCAGGCTAATGTGAGCAGCCAAACATGAAAAACCTGAGCCACAGGAGAGCAGATTCACTGTAATGAAACTCAGAAAACTCTCATGGCAAACCTTGCAGACACTGTGGAGCTGAAACATGTAACTGAATCCCTAACGTCTCAGCCTGGTGCTGGCTCTTATCTGCAGTTCAAGCTTTAGGTGCTGTTTGTTGACACTGCAGAAAAACATTGCTTTGATTAGCCCAGGAAAGTATTCTTATGTCCAGCCTTATCTTGCCTACCATCTCTTTTCTCCAGAAATCTTCTGATTGTCTAAAAGAGGAAACAAAGATATGCAGAAGCCAAAACAGGCTGTATAAAACCTAGATTTAAATGAGTACAAACTAGACACGGAATCTCACAAAATTTGCTCCTCAGAGAGGGTTGGGAAGCTTGTCAATAATGCTGTACTCCCTCAGCAACACACCCAAAGGCTTTGGGATCAGAGGCCTGCCTTGGTAGTATCATGCCTTAGGAGAATGTTTTAGGGCTCTCAGAATCTCGAGTTTGGTGCCTAGTCTAAAGATAGCAAGAACTATACGTTACAACTCAGGCATGCTTTGCTTTTCTGCTCTGATTTCTCCAACACTTTTGGTAGGCTTTCTTGACTCCACCTATTGTCCAAAGTGCTGTAAGAATGGGTAGAGAATCCCCATAGTCATAACCACTGTCAACTGCAATCCCTCAGCTCATAATTGTTCCGTAACAAGTTAAGACAGTGGATTGCTGATCACCTGCCCTGGCACTAGGAACCTGGGGGAGAAGCTATGAACTTTGAGCATTTCTTAAATGACAGCCACTGTGATGGACACTGTTATCATCTAATCTAATTGTCACAACCGAAAGATCAACTTTATCCCCATTTTATAGGCAAGAATGAGAGTCATGGGGAGCAAAGGTAACTTGCCCAAGGTTACACATCAACAAAGCAGAGAGCCGGGTTTCAAATACGCTGACATTCTGACTCCAAAATCCAAGCTCTTTCCATTTCCCAACTTACTAACTCTAAAAAGAACATTAAAATTTTTTTTTTTTTAAAGCAGTTTTAGAATCCTAGGGACAAGACAAAAAGGCCAGAGTTTAGAAAACAGGGAACAAGGGAAGAAAGTCAATCATGGAGGACAGGAAAGCACAGTGGTCAGAATAGAGGAGCTGGGAGGTGGAGAAAGGGAGCTTCCAACTAACCTAGGTTTTTTCATACCCTCACTGTCAGACTCAGGCCTGCCAAGTCCTCGTTCAAGTCCACTGCTGGAACAGACTGTAGATTTAGCTGCAGCAGCGAAGCGCAGCGACTCTGTATGATAAGCACTGGACTGCCAACCAAAGGTCGGCAGTTTAAGCCCTCCAGCCACTCAGGAGAAAGATGAGGCTTTCTGCTCCCACAAAGATGTACAGATGGAAACGCTATACAGTCTCTATGAGTTGGAACCAACTTGATGGCACATGACAACAACAGCGAACAGAAGACAAGGGGAAACTAAAGAGAAATCTAAATGTATATTCAGAGTTTATACCAGGTAAAAAAATAAAATAAAGCAGCTCTAGATGGCAGGTTCTGAGAGGTTCTGAACCAGCCCTCTTGATTCTCTTTTAAGAAGTGGGGAAGTTCTCAGGCAGAATGAAACAAAAGTTCCAGAGAGAAGAGATGGCGAGAATACACCGCTGCTGTAGGATGAAGAAGTGTAGGTACAGGCTGAAGGAGCCCCAAGAGGCCTTTTCTGGTCCAGATCAGAAATGCAGAAGAGTGGAGGCTGGGCAGCTCCAATGTATTGGGGCAAGACTGGCAGCATCTTCTGCTTGAGCTAGGGGATTTGCATTGGGCATATCAAAGTCTCACAGGACTGCTTACAAGCACTCCTAGGGATGTGCCTCCCATGAGGGCCGCTGGCTGTACTGTGGTTAGAGATGTGCCTGGTAGGGAGCATGCTGTAAAGGTGAACACAGAATAAAGTCCATAAGCTGTCTTTGAGGCAGCCACTTTGTCCAAGTGGCTAAAATGATAACAATGATTTGATCCAGAGGATAGAAATTCAAACATCTGCTGAGGCCCTCTTAAAGCCTGGGTTTTCTATTTTCCTAGAGTCATTGAGTGCCATCAGCAAAGCCCATCTTCTTCCTATTCCCCTTCCAATATTCCATGCAAGTCCTGCTTTCTCACTTATATACTCAGTGAGCACTAACTAATTTCCGAATTGCTATTTCTTCTCATCATAAACCTCTCATTTTGACGGCAAAGTTTTTACATTTTAGTATAGTATAAAACATAGTTGTTGTTTTTTTTTTAAACATTGCCCAAATTCTTCTTAGCAAACTAAGACTTAAAGATGAGTGTGTCTGAAAGAAGCCCCATGTTAACAAAACTCAATCCATATAAAATGATATGGTCTTATTCTAATCCCATGCTGTCTTCTGACTAATGTTCTTTCTGACTATTAGCTTTCACCTTAGAGTATTTTTGTCCATGGACTATGACACTTTCTCTTCCCATATCAAAATTTAGTGTCCATTTTTCTGACACATCAGTTCCTGTACATGGCTAGAGCATCCTCCTTTGCCTCTGTGACATGAGTTCTGCTTTGACCTCGGCCACTGCTTCCCTGTCATGTGAACCCTGATCCATCCCCAAGCTTACCCCAGTTCTGATCACTCCTTAACATTTACCATGCTTCACAGTGGAGAGGAGACACCTCTCATTTTATAGCTTTTATCTGGTCAGTTCAAAACTCCTGAACATTGGACTTGTAAAAGCTCATGCCAGCAATTAGATAAAAGTTTGCCTTTAGAGCTTTTTCTACCATCATTCTCTCTTTTCTCCCAAAATATTTTTTAAATTGATTAAGAATAACTGCTGTTGCTAAGTGCCATTGAGTTGAGATCCGACTCATAGCGACCCTATGAGTACAGGGTTTCCAAGGAGCAGCTGACGTTGCAGTTTACCGCATTAACCAGCAACGCCACACCAGAATAAGAATAACTAGACCCATGTAAACTATCACTCAATTCAAAATAAAAACATTAAAAAAAAAGAGAATACCTAGAAAGAAAATGATCTAGATAATTTTCTTTCATATAAAGACCGAACAGTCCCCAGGCTTACCTAGAGAGAGATTTTATTCCCTGTCACAAAAGCCCCTTGCCATGTCCTTTGAGGAAATTAGGAACTGAGACTGTATCTCCTCAAGGAGAAAAATGTTAGTAAATAATGGCTGACTTACTTTATTATTATCCTTCAACTATATTAATATAAAAAATGGATTTCTTATTTACTTCTAGAAAGTAACTTTCAAGCGCTACATTGACAAATGAACTTTTACAACACAATCTGACAATTAAGGCAAGCATGGACTCCAAATCTTCCAAGAATGAACAAGTTTAACAAAACTGCAAGATTAAACCCCAGGTAGTTGCCTTCCTATGGAGCTCTGGTAGCATAGTGATTATAACAAGTTGGGCTGCTAACCTCAAGGTCAGCAGTTCAAAACTACCAGTAGTTCCACAGGAGAAAAATGTGGCATTCTGCTCCTGTAAAAGATTTACAGCCTCGGAAACCTTATGCAGGGTCACTAAGAGTCAGAACCGACTCCACAGCACATAACCACCACCACCAGTTGCCTTCCTATACAGGGTCATTGTTAGCAACAACAACAAGTCCCCTTCTAGTCATATGCCTATGAATAGAAATAATTATCTTTACATATTAGAGATTAAATTCTATTTCAACACACCTGTTGTCTTCCTCCAGATTTATTCTGGATAATAGTCCTAGCAATAGCACCAGTAAACACGCAACATCTGAAAAATGAGCTGACGACATTGCAAAGGCCAATGGCTATTAAATCCTGTAAAGCAACGGCAGAGAGTTTAGGATCATTATTGGTTGAAGAAAGCTGATTTGATTTAGAAATAAAGGTGCACTGCTTATGTCTTGCATATGAGAATAGAGCTGTTTATAGATCTTCAAGTAAAAGGCAGAAATATTCTCAGAAAGAATAAAAGGATGGCAAATCTGATTTTCTAGATGAAGTTGGATCTTCATTTCCTCATGAGGAGAGAACTTTATCAAGGTGAGCAAATGAGGTTCTTGCCTTTTTTTTCCTCTTTCACGTGATCACCAAGACTTAGAATGGCAGGGAGAGCACAGTATTGCTTTTCTTTCTATACTACTGTGCCTCCTCACCTCACTTATCAACCATTTAACAGTTCACATTTGTGACAAGAGCAAAATATCCACCGGATTATTTTTAGCATTAATGATATACGTCTGGCAGTAACAAACACAGAGGTATGAGGTGAGAGTAATGTTAGCTCTGATGGTTGAGGTTATATGTCAACTTGATTGGACTATGATCCTCAGTAGCGTGGCAGTTATGTATTTATGTAATTTGTCAGTTATGCAATGATGTAGTCATATTTCATATTGTGATCTGATGTGTTCTTCTATTTTCACATAATGCTGATTTTGCCATAATGGTCTGGGTTTTGTAACCTAACCATGTCAATAAACGAGAAGGCATATGCTAAAAGTCAAACTGGGACATTCCTGTTTCTATATTTTCCTCTTGAGTCTTTGGGAAAGGGGCAAATTAAGAGTTGTTGGAGAGATTCCATATATATATGGAATGGCACATAACAATAATATATATATATATTGTTGTTGATGTTGTTGTTATGTGCCATGGAGTCGGTTCCGACTCATAGCGACCCTGTACAGGGTTTCCGAGGCTGTAAATCTTTACCGGAGCAGAAAGCCTCATCTTTCTCCCGCAGAGCAGCTGGTAGTTTCGAACTGCTGACTGTGAGGTTTGCAGCCCGATTGGTAACCACTACGCTACCAGAGCTCCGTATATATATGTATATATAAACAAAGACTAATTCTGGGATGTCAATTTCATTACAGGTTTGCTGTTGTTAAGTGCCATCAAGTTGGTTCCAACCCATAACAACCCTGTATAGGGTTTCTGAGGAGCCACTGGTGAGCTTGAACTGCTGACCTTGCAGTTCAAACTAAGCGTGCGGTCTAGTGCATTAACCCACAGCGCCATACCAGGACTCTTAATTACAGGTAGTCCTCAAGTTATGTTAAGGTTCCGTTCCCACAACTCGATCAGAAGTCAGTTCTGTCATAAGTCAAATACTTCTTTGTGTGTGTGTGTAACTTTTCATTATCATCGTCTTTTATTATCAATATCTTTCTAATTCTGCAAGTGTTTTGAATAGTAAACCACAAATTTGAACATTTATAAGTGAACATCTGAAAACAAGAACATCAGCAAATTATACCCTGCCACATATTACTACCAATAAGATGTACAGAAAACAAACAAACAAAAGGGACAGTGGTAAATGCAGCTCGTTATAACTCAAATACATCATAAGTCAGGGACTGCCTATAGATTGGTGGTGGTGGTTATGTGCCATGGAATGGACTCGACTTATAGCTATTCTAGGGAAACAACAGTCAAGTGACTTTAAAGTTAAGTATTCGGTGTAGTGGTTACGAATCGGGCTGTGAACCTCAGGGTCAGCAGTTCGAAATTACCAGCTGTTCCGCAGGAGAAAGATGAGGCTTTCTGCTCCCGTAAAGATTTACAGCCTCGGAACCCCTCTACAGGGTCACTATGAGTCGGAACTGACTCCATGGCACATCACAACAACAACATTCCTCATTACTCAACAATCTTCAGTCACACTGTCCAAATTATGGCCCAAATGACTCTGGTTAGAGAAGAGCCCAGATGACTCTTCATAATGGTAGGAGGCTCAGATTAGAGAACAAAGACATAATAGTTAGAGGCAGTGTTAAGGATTGAATTGTAGTCCCCTAGAGGATGTGCTGGAATCTTGACCCCTATGCTATGTAATTCCATTTGGGAATGAAGTTTTCTTTGTTACTGCCTAGTAACAAGGAACAGCACAGACACAGAAGTAAGCAGGCACAAATAGGGGAAGATAGATGTCCAAGGAACCCAAGAGCAGAAGCTGAAAGAGACAAAGATTTCCCCTCGGAGAGGAGACAGCGAGCCTTCTCCTAGAGCCAGTACCCTGAATTTGGATTTCTAGGCTCCTAAACTGGTGTGGCACTGTGGGTTAAAGCGCCAGACTGCAAAGCTGTTTGAACTGCAAGGTTGGCAGTTCAAACTCACCAGCTGCTCCTTGGAGTTGCTATGGGTTGGAACCGACTCAACAGCACCTAACAAACTGTGAGAAAGTGAATTTCTGTTTGTTAAAACCACCCACTTGTGACATTTTTGTTATAACAGAAGTAGGAAACTAAGACAAGCAATATAGAAAGCCATTTTCTCTCACCTGGTTGGAATTGACATCATAGTTATGGATAGCAGAAATTTTTCTGCCCAGAAATATGAGTAGAGACGAGCTCACTAGAGCTAAAGAGAAGGCTTGTAAAATAATGATGTGGAGAATGTTCATATTTGGTATTTCAGGAAACAGGAACCTGCAATAAAATGGTAGAATTAATTATCCCTAAATAACAGGAATTCCTTTATTGGCCTCCCCACTCTACCATTCTCCAACTGAGCAGGCCTGACATTTTTTCATAATAACAAGGGACATGTAGAACAACTGAGGCAACAGCCTGCCAAGGTGCCAGCATTCCAAGTCAAGTTATACAAGCCATTTGTTCTGTTACCTTCTAGTTCAAGGTTTCTGCCATGTAGCAGCAATGACAACAGATAGGACAGGCAAACCCACAATGGTTCATGAACGGTGGTTAATTACGCTGTATGAACCCATACCAATAGGGGAACAACAGAAAGACGGCACATCCAATATGTATTAGATCTGGCAAGCACAATGGATTTCCTGTATTCACACTCAAATCCTTTACAGTATAATTTTAATTATTGTTCTCTATGCAGATTACCAGGAGCTCTGGTAGCATAGTGGTTACGAATCGGGCTGCGAACCTTAAGGTCAGCAGTTCGAAACTGCCAGCCACTCCGCGGGAGAAAGATGAGGCTTTCTACTCCCGTAAAGATTTACACCCTCGGAAACCCTGTACAGGGTCGCTATGGGTCGGAACCGACTCGATGGCACTTAACAACAACAACAATGCAGATTACCTCCAAATTCTACCCTCCACTTTATACCCTATAGTTTTGAGATCACCAGAATGTCAAGATTCATTCCTTTTGGTGACAGTCTACTAACACAATACATTCTATTTCTACTAAGATCTTATCATATTCCCAAATACATATTACCATGATCAGAACCTCTGACTAGGTATACTCCTACCCTATTGTTAACTGGAAAACTCTCCTTACTTAACATAATAAAGTTTCTTTTTAGTATTACCATCAGATTGTTGTCCAGAGAATTAAAGAACATCCAAATGGTTATAGGAACAGATCCCTGTTCATTCATGTTTTGGTCTTAATAATTTTATTCTGCTGTCCAGATTATCTGTTAAGTCAGCTTCTATGTGGTCAATTTTAGGGACTGTGACTTCTTCGAGGTCAGCAGTGCTGAAAAGTAACATTACCCACCTATAAGGGATCATCTCAATGAGCGTCTTGCTGGTTTCTGTAGCCATGCTTAGCTTGTTTGCAAGTACAGTGAAGCCAACAATCTGTAGGGTGGGGGACGTTAAAGAAAAAAAAAAAAAGTCACATAATCATCCAAGTTTTATTCTTTGCTTCCAGGAGCAGAAGTGCCCATAGTCTCTGGAAGACAGGAAATGAAATGAGTGGAAGTCTCTATGCCTGAAGGCAGAGCTAGCTCAGTGAGGCAAGAAAAGTAGGGTCCTCTCTGATTCTAAAGGTCTAAGTGTCCTTCTCTAAGCTCCTTTTAGCATTGAAGCCAGAATGATAAGCAACTTCTGCCTCACTTTCTGACACAATGATTGGAACACATGAACATCAGACTTCTCTTTCCCCACTGACCTTATAAGTCTAGACCAATATAAACATGTTCTCAACTAATGGTGTATCAAGGCCTTGGGTTTTTAAATGTTTTAAAATCTAAGTATACTATCAATATAGATATAAGCTTTTGGGGGGACTGTTGAGGTATATAGATATCTAGAGAATCAGGATATTTACTAGCCCTTAATGATAGGGAGTAGCCCCTGATACCACACACAAACACACAGACAAAACAATTAACCTGCTTTTTTTTTTTTTCATTGACTTCTAAAAATGGCAATTCTCCCTTCTAGTCCCTGACTTTCAACTAGAGAGAAGAGACAACCTAGCAATTATTTCACCTTCTAAAGACCTCACACCAAAGTAAATTAAACCAGATACAAGAGATCTCAATGCCTGAGTTTAAAAATGTTATAGATTTACTTTGCCTCATTATCCCTAATACATAAGTCTTTCCCCAGGATCAACTTTGAGAGCCCCACCAGACACTTAGCAGGGCAGCAGTTGGTTTCTGTAATGCTGTGATCAGAGAAAGCCCCCAGATCAGAATGGATGGAAGAGTTTGGGTCACAGCTTGGGTTCAGAGAAGATATGTCTTAGACTTTATGAGGAACCTTCAAAAAGTTTGTGGGAAGGTAGAATCCCAACTCAATAGTTTTCATCTTGCCTAGATGGGTCTGGCGAAAGGAGATGGGAATAGGATTCTTTTGATTCTGTAGTGAGTAATTGTTATCATGACTAATTGCGATTGTCACAACTGTAAAGGTTTTGTAACATAAAGGGGGAAGTAGTTAATCTTACATCCAAGGAATAGAGGGCCCTAGGATCATCAGGAGAGAAGAGCATGAGCGGAATGTGGGACCCTATCCAGAGAAGTAGCGACACCAGAGATTGAGACAGAGGTGAGGACATGGAGAGAGCAGCTGAGGACTCTGGACTCATGTAAAGAGAAAGGCTGTGTGCTGATGGTCAGGAGACAGGCTTTCAGAATGTGCCCTTTGGTTGTTTAAATAATTATATATTCCTGTGTGTTTTTGTATACATCAAACAAACAAAATAAAAAATAGAGGGAATAGAAGCAAATACAATTAACTGATGATGCATGGAGGAGACTGTAATCATTGCAATGAAACAAATATGATAGGTTGAGTGTAAAACCAATGTTCTCCCATGTAATCCCATGAAAACTATCACTCAGTTCACAATAAAAGCTTGAAGGAAACAAGTTTGTGGGAAATGGAATTAAAAGATAATGGATTTTTTTCATGAAAGTTTTACAGCTCCCTTGTGTATAGTTCAGGGGCAAGAAAGGTATTGGGTGGCCAAGGAACTCGTTTCTTTCCATTATAGAGATAATATTTGTTCATTAAGGAAAATGAAGAAAATTTGGAAAATTAAAAAGCAGAAATCAGAAACCAAAGGTAACTACTATTGACACTTTTTGGGTGTTTGCTGTACAATATGTATACATATGTACATAAACACAATTATATAACTTAGTATATTATTAAATTGTATAATTTCATATAATTTGTTGCTGATTACCTTCAAGTAAGTTCAGCTTCATAGCAACCCTTATAGGATTTCTGAGGAGCAGCTGGTGGGTTTGAAACTCATGACCTTACATATGGCAGTCCAGTGCTTATCCTACAGCACCACACCAGGATGTATAATTTAATATAGTACGTATAATTTTGTATAGTTAAGGAACTCAAATATACTTGTCCGTATCGTCTTTCTGGGTCCCAGATAGTGCCTTGAAAATTTTTCCAAATATTTTAGTATCATATCTAAAGGATGGACTGATTAGATTCTGCTGTTTCCTCCAGTACCACTAAGCAGTAATCTCCTGGTGACTGATAAGAAAAGTTTTTCATATCCCAGGCCATAACAGCTCTCATCTTCCTACTCCTATTTTCTTAGCTACCAAGGAAAACTAGGAGGACTTTTTCAGTCCTCTAATGCCTGCTACCTGTTGTTGTTGTTGTTAGGTATCGGGTTCATATCAACTCATAGTGACCCTGTGCACAACAGAACAAAACAGGTTCTACACCAACCTCACAATTGTTGCTACTCTCGAGCCCATTGCTGCTGCCACTGTGCCAATTCATCTTTCCGGGGGGTCTTCCTCTCTTTCTTCTACCCTCCACTTTATATCAAACATGATATACTTCCCCAGGGACTGGTCCCTCCTGACAATATGTCCAAAGTATGAGAGTCGAAGTCTGGCCATCCTGGCTTCCAAGGAACAATCTGGCTGTAGTTTTTTTTAAACACAGATTAGTTTGTTCTTTTGGCAGTCCATGGTACTTTTAATATTCTCCCCCAACACCATAACTCCACCACTCATCTGCCAGACTGTGCCCATTCCAAAGAAAAGTGACTCAACAGAATATGGAAATCATCGGGTAATATCATTAACATCCCATGCAAACAAAATTTTGCTAAAGATAATTAAAAAACGACTACAACCCCTAAGTGTCTTCCAACCTGAGGGGCTCATCTTCCAGCACTATATCTGACAATATTCTGGTGCTCTTCATCATATTGGATATTAAATACTCTGGTTCTGACAGTGTTCCATGGATATTTATAAGGTGTTCAGTGACTGAAATACTGGAAAGTAGTTATCTTTCCTTCTTCCTAGTCTGTCTTTGCCTGGAAGCTTGGCTGAAACCTTTCCATTGTGGATGACCCTGGTATGTAAAATACACATAGCATAGCTTCCAGAATCCCAGCAGCACACAAGCCATCACAGTACAACAAAGTGACAGACCAAGTAGTAGCCGGCTACCTGGCAGAAAGCAAAAAGAGAACTCTGTCCCCATCAGTTGACTTGGCATGTGTATCAGCAGTTTATTGCATATAGTGTAACAGCTACTGAAGCCTGTAAGTACAAATTAGGTCCAAAAAAAATTTTTTTTAATGCCTAAATTGCAATAGTTTTAAGCCTTTACCTACTTTAATGGGGAGCACAGTGGCTCTGTAGAATAAGCACTGGACTGCGAACCACAAGATCAGTGGTTCAAGCCCACCAGCTGAGCTGCTCCACAGGAGAAAGATGAGGCCTTCTGCTTCTGCAAAGATTTACAGCATCAGAATCCCTATACAGGGTCACTATGAGTCAGAACCGACTCCAGGGAACCTAACGACAACCCAATTTATTGCTGAATCTCAGCATTCTAATTATTGATAGCATTCCTCAAAGGAACAAATGTCTTAACTATGGCTCACAAATAGTCTGTCCCTCAAAAGCAGCCTTTCAGCTTTGACCCTTTAGGAATGAATAACTTTTTAATGCCTCCAAGAAAGAAAAAACATATATCTTCATAAGAGGTAGGCAACAGATAGGAGACTCAGCTTGGTCTCAATCCCCAAAGCAGTGTTTTTCAAGAGTATGAACCTCACTCAGTTAGTTAGTAAGCCCAACCACTGCCTTCATGCTGATTCTGATTCGTAGCAACCCTAAAAGACAGGGTAGACCTGCTCCATAGGGTTTCTGAGTCTGTAAATCTTCATTTTTCTCCCAGAGTGCCCGATGGATTTGAACCACAAGTCTTTAAGTTAGCATTCCAAAGCTTAACACACTGTATCACCAGGGCTCCTTTGGTTGGTTAGTAAAAGATGGGCTCTACAATGGTAATACACAAACTATGAGATCTTAACATTTTTAACACACAAAGTTCCTTTTTGCTCACACAAAGTCTATTGTGGGCTGGTGGCAGTCCAGGGCAGCTCCTTTGCAAACAGTGCCAGGGATGCAGGCTGATTCCTCCTGAGGACACTGCAATCTCAACATATGACCTCTAAAGTCATCACAGCCAGGAAGAGAGAGCAGGAAGACTCATACCTATTCTCCTGTTCTGTGGTCCAGAAGTCACCTGATCTTGCCTGACTACAGGGAGGCTGGAAGTTTCAAGGGACCACATAGATAGTTGAAGAACTTTAAATATCTCTACCACAGGATCCTTCCTATAGACAACCCAAGAATTCAGAACTCCCAAGAGTGGGAAATGCTTTAATAAACTTATGAAAGTGTCCTTATTACAGTAGAAACATTCATTATAACTACAAAAGATCAATTTTAACCAGTAGACTTTTAAAAAAAACAAGAACCGTGATGCTAGACAGCAGTGGGTCCCAGCTCTCTGCCACTTACAAGCTATGTGGTTTAGAGAGTTCACTTAATATCTCATCTGCCTCAAGTTCTTTACTGTAGCACAGTGAGACTAAAAAGAGGTTCAATAACAGTGCGGTGGCAACTATATTAAAATGGAAACAAAACTTCTACATCAAAAAAATTGGAAATTCACCAAACACTGAGCATAGGCCAGTCACACAGTCAGTCATAAATATTTGTACGAACAAAGGTGTCAATAGCTGAAGACACAAAAATACCAAGAATAGTTCACTTTGGGTGGTGCAATTCTAGGAGGTTTTTTTGTTTTCATTTTCTTTATGTTTTTCTCAATTTCTAGAATGAGCCCATATTACTTTCACAAGTGAAACAAAAAACAAAAAAAACACCCTGTGTTTTTAAAATATCATTTAAAAGAAGCACTTAGATACTTTGAGAAGAAGCCTATGTTTCGTTCTGTTGTGCACAGGGTCGCTATGAGTCGGTACTGACGGACTGGCACCTAACAACAAGAACAACACAAATATAAGCTTGTATTTAAAATAAAGTATATTTGTCACAATTTGATTTAGGAATTTTAAAAAAATGAATATTTTCACAGGTTCTTATGAATTTTTCTTTTTCTAGGACACTTGCTTTTTATTTAATTGGGAGGGGAAAGTAGGTATTTAAAATGTCCTAAACCTTGAATTTGGAGCACTGAAAAACTTACCAGTAGGAATTCCATAGGAAACTCGATGGGGTACCGGTTAAAAGAAATTTTGATACATTTGTTGATTCTCAGAATTACTACGACCGTTAGAAATAGTAGGATGCTGGTGGAATTTGCTTTTGGTAGATTCATGCAGTAGTTAATTATGTTCTGAAAGAAAACAATATTACAGAAATTGAGCAAGGGATACAACTGACCACAAAGATCTGTACAAACATGTCTACAAGAGTGAGGGTAAGCACTCCTGGGGTGTATGTTGTGCTGATTTCAGTTGAAAAGAGACATTGAAACAGGCAGTAACGCCCAGTAAGGAGAGACTACACTTTATATATTTCAGTGCAACTGAAATGATCAGGGAGTTCAGTTTATTGGACTCTTCATTAATCTCCCTAGACTGTATTGGGCGTCCCTTGGCAGTGTTAATGGTTAATGTGCTTGCCTGCTAACCAAAAGATTGGAGGTTTGAATCCACCCATAGGGAGGCACCTTGGAAGAAATGTCTGGCAATCTATGAGAGAGTTTCAGAAAGTTCATGGGAAAATCCCATAATCTTTTCGTTCCATTCATATTTTCATCCCATTTTCCCACAAAGTTTTTGAAGCCCCATGTTCTTCTGAAAAATCAGCCACTGAAAATAAGAGTACAGTTCTACTATAATATATATAGGGTGGTCATGAGTTGAAGTCTAGCTTAGTTGAAATCTACCTTACTTCATTCCTGGATTCAGGGACTACTTAGTATTATATATTCTTCAGCTGTTTTATGATACATGCCCATTATATAAAAGCATTGAGAGGAATTATGATAAATACATTATGTTAAAAACCAAATTCTTATTGTAGTAAAATGTACATTAAGACCTGAGAAAGCTGGGACCTGTGTAAGGCAGAAACCTGCCAGAGAAGGAAAATTCAAACAATTTCCATTAATAGAGAGCAAATAGAAAGGTGGTAAGACTGCACCCTGTCAAAGGAGAAAATTTTGCAAGATCCGGAAAAACAAGACAAGCCCTTCATGAAAAATAACTCTTGTTGGCATGGTCCATCTTCAGGACTAAGGGAAATCTTGGAGGGTAGGCATGCTAGCATAACAAAAGGAGCTTGGGAGGAGGAGCTCATGACCTCATACTATTGGGTAGTAGCAGCGGAGCTGGAGAGGGGCTTTTTCAAGACAGGGGAATAAACCTGTTTACTGGCAGGCCATAAGGCTCATCTTCCCGTGTCTATGGAGTTGGGCGCCCGATTTTGCAAAATTGAATAAAGAAAACCTCACTCTGGCTAAAATGAGTACAGATTGGATTACTTAAGCATTTGTTGGTCTGCACAACATTTCTCACACCATTAAGTTCGGATCCTTCCAAGTTTCATGGTATATAGCAAGACGTTTGCCATTTTAACTATTTTTAAGCATTTGCCATGCTGTGTAACTATCACCATTATCCATTTTAAAGACCAAATTTTAATGTAAATTATGCTAGTGATTTACATTAATCAAAATGATTAATGCAACTGAGAGCATGGTCCAACTGGCAGCTGCAATTAACCAATACCCCCAAATCTAACAGAGAAGAAACAATTTCTAGAACTCTCTTAACTGGGCTGCCTATAAGCTGTGTCACCTTTTGGGAATTGTTGTTGTGAAGTATTGTCAAGTCGATTCCGACCCATAGCGACCCTGTATAGGGTTTCCGAGGAGCAGCTGGTGAGCTTGAACCGCCAACCTTGCAGTTCAAATTTGGGGTGAGGGTTGAAATTACTTACATAAAAGAAGGCAATTGGACCAGCGTGGAAACTAATCATAATCCCGAAGATACATGTCATCTGGGACAGAATGACGTGCAGCGCTGTGGCAACCAGGTAAGCACTGATGACAGACTCCGGAAGGTAAGTGGCAATGAAACCAAAACCTAACATGCCCATTGATAGCTGCAAGAAGTTCACATAAAAAAGAGACTCAGAATGAGAATGGGGTCAAAGGTCATCAAGCCAGCTCCCAATCTCAAAGAAAGGTTAATTCCCCATTGGTAGCCCTTCTGTGTTTCTTTTTCTAATGAGCTTTACTTGATGAGATAAAGTGTATCCTTGTGTGTTGACACAGAGACTCAGAATATGCATTCCCTTTTTTTCTTCTGGGCACTGTCACCTGACTTAAATTCTTGCCCTAAAATCTACTTGTTGTTAAGTGTCTTTAGTGGGTTCTGATTCATAGTGATGTAGAAACTAGAACCAGGTGATCAGAGCAGAGCGGTTCGTAAAAGCCCTTTCATTATAACTTGAATAGTCCTTCTCAAATGCTAACATCCCTGTGAGAAATGCAGCTTTTCACAAAGGAAAATCTGCTCAAACTTCTTGATCTTTGACTCTTAAGTTTTACTGTTGTTGCTAAGTGCCACTGAGTCCATTCCAACCCATAGAGATCCTGTATAGGGTTTCCAAGGAGCAGCTGGTGAACTTGAACCGCCAACCTTGCAGTTCAAATGGCTTTGCAGGATGGCACATTAACCCACCGCGCCACACCAGGACTTTGTTACTATTGTTAGGTTCATTTATATCCTGAAGGCATAAATAAGCATAGTTTATATTTACAAATGAGTAAGAAGAAAGACCTGGAGATTTACTTCCAGAAATTAGCCAATAAAACTCTATGGATCACAACGGTCTGATCCACAACCTTCTGTTAATACACAGTGTCACCATGAGTCAGAGGATGACTGACAGCAGTTAACAACAACACACACATGTAAATAACCTGGAAGATGTTGTAAGGGAAAAAAGTGACCTCATCTTCAAATATATCAATATTATGTTGTCATCAAGCCATTTCCAACTCATAGTGACTCTGTATAGGGTCTCCAAGGAGCAGCTGGTGAGTTTGAACTGGCAACCTTGTAGTTCAAACCAACCTTTCTGTCCTTTGCTTATCCTACAGCTCCACACCAGGACTCCATATAAGTTATTATACTCTTTATTAAGTCTTAAAATAGGAGTAATAACAAGACAAAGATAAACACAGATGATCCAGATGAGGGAAATCATTGATATGATGCCATGATGAGTTTCCAAATTTCTGCCTCCACATGGTGACGTTCAGTAGGGCACAGGGAACAAAGGAATCTCCGCCCATGATGGACTGCAGCAATGTGTCACACAGGAGGTTTTTGTAGTGTGCATGTTTATCTTTTATAATAACGCAATTAGAGAATGGATGGAAAATGGCACAGTCCAATGCAAAGAAGAAGAAAAAAGAAAGTTTACTATTGTCAGCACTTCATTCTTCTCTGTTCTAGAAGCTCTTGGGAAACAAACTTGGAACAATAGGTCTTTTAGTCTGTTTTAAAGCTTTTAATCAGTTGGGCAGAGTCTTGGTGTGGCGCTATAGGATAAGCACTGGACTTCCTATCACAAGGTCTGTGGTTCAAACCCACCAGCTGCTCCTCGGAAACCCTAAACAGGGTCTCTGTAAGTCGCAACAGACTCGACAGCACTTAACAATAACAACAAATCAGTTGGGCACTGCATCTCCTTTAATCTGCTATCATTACTGCCCAATATGTTCCTTTACTCTAATCAACAACTTCATATCTCTTATGTGACTGACCAATCCTACTTTTGTGCTTATGCATGAAGTCGCTTTTTTTTTTTCTCTATTTCTGCCAATCTCTGGCAAGTGCTCAAAAAAACCACTTACAGGAAGGGTGGAGTTAAAAACATGATTCCTGGACTTGGAGAATCTAGCTTCATTACTAGCTGGCTGGATGAGTTTAGACAAACTACTTAAATTTTCTGAGCCTCAGTTTACTCCTTTAAAATGTGAATAACATTCAACACAGAGTTTGATATGAATAAAATTACCTAGCACATGTAAAACAGCTATATTCTGTCCAGTTGTTTTATCCATTGTTGAGAGAGGGATGTTGAATTTTCACTGTAATTGTGGATTTGATTATTTCTTCTATATGTTCTATCAGTTTTTGCTTCAATTTTTTTATAGCTCTATTATTTGACATATGTACTTTGACTGATATGCCTTCTTGTAGGACTGACCCTTTACCAGTACATATTATCCCTCTGTTTCTGGCAATTTTCTTGACTCTCTCAACTACTTTATTGTGCTGTTGCTGTTAAGAGCCACTGAGGTGGTTCCGACTCATAGAGAGGGTACCCTGTATAGGGTTTCTGAAGAGCAAATGGTTAGTTTGAACCACCAACTTTGCCATTCAAACCAACCTTGAGGTCCAATGCCACAGATGTAAGATATTAAAATAGTCATTCCTGCTTTCGTTTCCACCAATTATCTATCAACTTATTGTCCTGTGGAGGCTTGTGTGTTGCTGTGATGCTAGGAGTTATGCCATCTTTATTTTAAATATCAGTAGAGTCACCCATGGTGGACAGGGTTCAGTAGAGCTTCCAGGCTAAGACAGACTTGGAAGAAGGACAAGCAAACCACTTCTAATTGGTTACCTACAGATAACCTTATAAATATCAGTGGAACATTAGTGCCACAAGATGAACTCCTTAGTTAGGAGGTACTCAAAATATGGTAGCGAAGAGCTGCCTCCTAAAACTAGGGTTGACCTTGCTGATGTCAGATGGAGCTTAGCTGAAATCAGACTTAATTGACTATGCAAAGGCATTTGACTGTGTGGATCATAACAAACTATGGATAACGTTACGAAGAATGGATATTCCAGAACACTTAATTGTGCTTGTAAGGAACCTTTACATAGACCAAGAGGTAGTTGTTATAACAGAACAAGGTGATACTGAATAATTTAAAATCAGGAAAGGTGTGTGGCAGGGTTGCATTCTTTTACCACACTTACTCAATCTGTATGCTGAGCGAATAATCTGAGAAACTGGATTATATAAAGATGAATGTGCCATCAGGACTAGAGGAAGACTCATTAACAACCTGCAATATGCAGATGATACAACCTTGCTTTTGCTAGAAACAAAAAGGACATGAAATACTGATGAGAATCAAATACTACAGGCTTCAGTATGGATTGCACCACTGTCGGGGACTGTCCTTGACATAGTTGTGTTGTTCACGAGTATTTGGTTCACGAGGAGGGGAGATCCAGCGGCGATAGGGATAGCAAAAGAATACGCAGAAAGACAAGAGGGGGACAAGGAGGCACCCGAAACCAGGGTGGATGCATCACTGGTGGGCAGACTTGGGACTACAGGCATCGTGGCCTCTGCAGGCAGCAACTCACTGCCCTGCAATCTTTACTGCATGCCTTCCAACTTGTAATGCACACCTGGGCCGGCCTGCATCTCGGTTTTATTTAGGGGAGGAGCTTCACACCAAGCTGGGAGGGACTAAGACAAGGTACAGCTAACATCAGTAATTTTCCAGACATTCAGGTAACTTTACATCGTACTTCGCTGGTTCGAATCCCAGGCCCGCAACTTGGATTCTCAGGCTCAATTAACATATCTATAGTCCCTGAGCTCAGTTGGGGGAAGGTGAAAGGGAAGGACAAAAGGCTTGGGTGGAGTCCCGCTGTTTTGGCTTCCTGAGCCAGGTTTGCCGGAACTTGGCTGAATAACCAGCACCTGGGACAGATTCAGGGAGGATGGCTTTTTTGTCTATAGAACAAAGAACCGGGAAGTAGCTAAGCTATTTTCAGTTAATCCTTTGGAGAAAGGTTTAACCTTACATTTATCTGTGGACATTAAGGGCTCATGTTTGGAATTAAATAAAAAACATAACTGAAAACTAAGATGAAAAACAATTTGCCATGACTGCCAGTGGCCAGAATTTTTTCCTCAGAGCCTGTGGCCTGTATAGTCAACACGGTCTGCAATACACCCCAATACAAAGTAAATGAAAAGCCTCACAACTGGACCAATAAATAACATCATGCTAAACGGAGAAAAGATTGAAGTTGTCAAAGATTTTATTTGGCTTGGATCCACAGTCTGTGTTCACGGAAATAGTAGTCCAGAAATCCAATGATGTTTTACATCAGACAAATCTACTGCAAAAGACTTCTTCAGATGATTAAAGAGCAAAAAATGTTAGTGTGAGGACTAAGGTATGCCTGACCCAGGCCATGGTAGTTTCAATTGCCTTACACATGTGTGAAATTTGGATAATGAATAAGGAAGATCTGAGAAGAATCAGTGCATTGGAATTACGGTGTTGGAGAATAATATTGAAAGAACCACAAACTGCCAGACAATTCTGTCTTGGAAGACGTACAGCCAGAATGCTCCTTAGAAAGACTTTGTCTCTCATACTTTGTCCAGGAGGGATCAGTCCCTGGAGAAGGACCTCATGCTTGCAAAAGTAGGGCATCTGAGGAAGACCTCAATGAGATGGTTTGAACAGTGGCAGTAACAATGGACTCAAATATAACAATTGTGAGATGTGCAGGACTGGGCAGTGTTTCGTTCTGTTATGCATAAGGGTCACTGTAAGTCAAAAACAACTGGATGGCACCTAACAACAACTTGTCTTTCATTAATGTTTTCACGATAAACCTCTTACCATCCTTTTACTTTCAACTGTTATATATCATTACTGGTCAACACTGACAAGACAGCACTTAATAACAACATGTGTCATTATTTTGGGAATGAGTTTCTTATATACAGCATATAGCCCAGTCATGTTTATTAAGCCACTTTGCCAATGTCTGTATTTTAATTGGTATATTTAGATCATTTACAAAATAATATATTAGGGCTTAACTCTGCCGTTTTACTTTTTGTTTTCTATTCTTTTTGTTGTTCATTTCTCTTTTTCTTTTTTGCACTTACCTGTGTGTTACATGAATTTTTTTAGAATTCCATTTTCATTTTATCTGTTACATTCTTGAGTGTATATTTTTGTATAGATTTATTTAGTGGTTGACCTAAGTATTAAATTATAGATATGTATAAAACTCCTGACAATCTCTTGGTGTTAAAAT